AAAAAAGGCTCTTTCCCCCACCTCCAAACTTTTGCTTATGAAGAGAACAAATTTGTTCTGAGGTGATGAAAAAAATTATATATGCTTGTGAATATGCCTATATTTATGTATGTATGCATTATTGGCTTCGTAATTTGCAATTTCTACTGAAAAAGCTGTATCAACCATTTTTTTTTTCCTCTTTCCGAAGTTCCTATGATTTCTTTTAATCAAAAGAAAGGATTTCATTTAATTTATTATTATTATATGTATTTCGGTTTAAATATTAGATAATAATCAGTTGCAGTGTAAATACATTAGATTTATTATAGATAGATAAATTAATGAGAATAGCAAAGTCATTAAATTAGAATAAAGTATCACAAACCGTCCTTAGGGTATAATACTGAAATTGAAGTGATTAAAAATGATCTGTGTATATATATTTTGAAGGAAAAAAAAAAATGCTCCTCGTAAACGTGTATAATATTTCAAGAAGGAAAATTTAACACAGATAGGGCACACTTGTACGAGATCAAGAAAGCCTTTCAGCCAGCGTGCAACGAAAATTGCTATCCTTTTCCACTTGGAAACTGGCAATTTCCAATATTGCACAAGTTTGGCAGAGCCACAATCATGAATTTAAAGCCATTATGATGATCATTTTGTTTTCTAGAGAGAGAGAGAAAAAAAAAAAGAGGGCAACAGTGACACCTCCTAGCTGATCGATATCCCTTCTATAAACTCCAGCCAAAAAGAAAAAAAAAAGAAAAAGGAAAAAAGAAAAAAGAATAAAAGAAAAACGGAAAAGAGAAAAAGAAAAGAAGGAATTACAAACTCAAACTTGATGAACAAATGTAATTTATTCTTTACCTTTTAAGTTTTTGTTAAATTGAGATCAGCAATTGGATAGAATTAGCCAGACAAGTGCCAAGTATTTGCATGGTAGTTTCTTGTATTGTCTCCCACAAGATCGGAATCCATACGAACTAAAAATTCTTTGCCTTTGTGTATTTTCTATCATTTTACATGATCTATATATACCTTTTTGACTTAATATTTATACTCTGGCTTTTATGTGCTATAGGGTTTTGCGGGAAAAGTGAGTAAGTATATTAATTGAATCACTAAATAGGCTTTACTTAATACTTTACTACTTTTCTGAAAATAACATTCCGAGCTCCTTTCAGGCTTTTGGCTAAACGCTGTCTCCAGATGAATATAAGCACTTCTATTTTTTGCATCCATTTTGCTCTTGCTATATATAGTAGGTAAAATATTCATTCCATGACTCCAAATTAATTATTTGCTAGCAATAGCATGTCTAAAAATAAATATCAGTAATAAAGATGATGTAATTATAAATTTAAACTTTTCTGTAATCTGTACGTAAAGAAAAGTAGAAAACTCCCCACACTCACACACATACAAAAAAAAAAAAAAAAAAAAAAAAAAAAAAAAAAACATTTTTACACATTTCCATGCAAAAATTAAAAAAACTGCTAGGAACAGAAGAGAGAAATATTAAAGGTAACATTATGACTCTTCTACCCAAACCCCACCAGCTCTTTCCCAATTACTTTTGTTTTTAATTTCCATGTTATTGTTTATTGATAAGCTTGTATTATACTTTTACTTGGGGTTTATTCTCTCTCTTTCTCTCTCTTTCTCTCTCTTTCTCTCTCTTTCTCTCTCTTTCATGCATGGCCACTAATGACTAATCTTTTTGGAGCAGTAGTACTACTGTAAATTAAAGAGCTTAAAAAAGAAGCTTAAAGACTAAGAAAATAAATTGTTCCTTTTTCCCTTCAAAACCCTAAAAATTTAATAAAACAAAAAGAGAGATAGAGATCATCAACAATAAGGAACAAAATAAATAAACAAACAAACAAGCTCCCTCCTTTATCTTTCCTTTCCCCGTCTCCTTCTGATCTCTCTCTCTCTCTAGAGACTCATCTACTTTCTCTTTCTCTCTGCAACTAATTCTCTCTTCTATGTTGATGTGATTCTCTATCACTCTAAAAAACCCATCAACCTTTACAAAAGAAAAGAAAAGAAAAGAAAAGAAAGTTAATTCTCCTTGTGAGAAATCACTCAATATTATCATGGTTTTCTCATCAGTTCCTGTCTTTCTGGATCCACCCAACTGGCAACAGCAGGTAAAATATAAGGCCTAAATTTAATTTCTTCTCCTACAAAAAAGCTTAAAAAATAAAATCTATAGAGGATAAACAAATATTCCTATATACCCATACCCCTTTTCAATCCCTTCCCTGAATATACCAGATATTTGATTTTCTTCTTCTTCTTTTTTGATTTCTAATTTTTTTTTTTTTTTAAATTTTGAAGCAACCAAATCATGATCATCATCAACAGCAGCAACAACAAGGTGGTCGAACCGATCACCATCAGAATCCCCAGCTTCCTCCTCCTCCACAGCCACCTCAAGCAGCCGGAGGCGGCTGTGGAACGGGCTCCATGAGGCCCGGTTCGATGGCTGATCGGGCTCGGATGGCGAAGCTACCGCAGCCGGAGACGGCGCTGAAATGCCCCCGGTGTGATTCCACCAACACCAAGTTCTGCTACTTTAATAACTACAGCCTCTCCCAGCCCCGGCACTTCTGCAAGACCTGCCGCCGGTACTGGACCCGAGGTGGAGCGCTGCGAAACGTGCCGGTCGGCGGCGGCTGCAGGAGGAACAAGAGGAGCAAAGGCTCCAGCAGATCCAAATCCCCCGGTTCGGTGGCTGCGGCTTCTTCAGAGCGCCAATCCGGCGCCTGTGCCTCCACAAGCGCAGCCGCCATGTCGTCCAACGGCGGCAATATACTCGGTCATTTGGCGCCTCACCAGCCGCCACCCCACTTACCCTTTTTGCCGGCCCTACACCATCTCGGTACCGATCATTACGGAGGCTCTGGCGACTTAGGGTTGAATTTCAGTGGAATCCCATTACCGCAGGTGGTCGCAAGCGGCAGCGTGGGAAGCGGTGGCGCTGATGTCGAGTTTCTACCAGCCGGCCTCGCGGAGCAGTGGAGACTCCAGCAGCAAGTGCAGCAACAAGTACAACAGTTTCCTTTCTTGGCCAATTTAGAAGCACCACCAAATACTAGTACTACTGGGCTGTTCCCCTTTGATCATCATCATCATCATCATCATCATCATGAAAATGTGGAGCCGCCGCCAGGCTACGTTCGGTCTAAGCCGTTGGATTCTGGGGTTAGCGGGGTGGTTTCTCAGATGGCCTCGGTGAAAGTGGAAGGAAATCTTAGCAATACTCAAGGGCTGAATAATATTTCGAGAAATTTTTTGGGAGGTCTTGGAAATCATCATGATCATCAAAATCAGTATAACTTGGGTGGTACTGCTGGTAATGCATGGACCGACCTCTCTACATTCAGTACTACTTCTTCCACCAACCATCTCTTATAGTTTATTATATCAATCTATCATATAATATATATCAATCACCTCATCAAAATATAGCTAATTAACTTTTTGATCAAGCTCCAATTTGAAGATGGAAAACACAGAGAAAAGGCGTGGAATGGAATATATATAGATCATATTATATATTAATATTACTAGTACTTTTTGGTGATCTTTGGCTGAAAAACGTACGTACACTACTTCAAAGTGGTAGGATCTCTTTTTTTTTTTTCTTTTTTTTTCTTTTCCTTTTTTCATAGTAGGGCTTGAAATTATTTTCTGTTGTTTATTTGATTTTATTCTTCTTTTTTTGGGGGGTTATAATATTATGTTTATTTTGAAAGAAGTAGACTTTATCGTGGAGTTTTTGTATTCTGACAAGGACTAAACTGTTATATCATTAATATTTTGTCAAATGTGCGCTTGTGCTAATTAACTAGTAATATGATTTTCTTCTTCTTCTTCTTCTTCTTTTATTTTCAGATCAATCAGAACATATATCATATAATTATGCATAATTTAGTTACCCCCATTTATTTGTATATCTTATGGTGAAAATTTAATAAATAATATAAAAATGTGAGCGATTGGGGAGTTTTGACATCCATTTAATCAGCTGTGGAAACAGAGAAATGCGGGCTTTGAAAAGTTATTGTTCTATAATGAATGAAGACAATCAACATATATATCTCTCGGAGAAATATATAGTACTCATTCTAAATGCTTTGTCCGGACAGATTTCGTGAAATAAATGTAAGAGTACTACTCTACCATTCCCTGCAACTCTCTCTCTATCTCTAGATCTTTCTCTCTCACACACGCATTCTGCAGAAAGAGTACTTTAGTTAGCTCATAAAATACTAGAAACAGTTAGCTTCAGTTTCATTTTTGGTCAAAACACAGTGGGTACAATTTCTTTCTCGGCGCCATCTCTATTATAAACTCTTATAAAAATGTTAATAAAAAAATGATAAACTATTATATGTATATATACGCACCTTTTTTCTTTTTTCTTTTTTGCTCCATCATGAAATTAATCAAGCTTGAATTCTTCGTAGTTACTTTGTTAATATGTAATATTAATTCTTGTGGCGTTCCCTATGGAGATATATCTTGGTCACACATTTTTAGGAATATTTACCTGTGGTTATAAGTTAGTTATCTTTCACCACCTCTAGGAGAACGTAGTACTGTTTTTTGAACACTTCTAAGTTTGTGCCCTTTAATAATTTGCTTTTGAGTTGTGTGTGTACGGTGAGAGAAGGAAAGGAAAATGGGTTCCCAATGAATTAACTTTTATAATTACTAGACGCACAGTTACTTGTTGGTACTAGAACTATGGTTAAAATGATTACGCAATTATACTAAATTGACCAGAAATATTTGCATGAGACGTACTTATTTGTTGTATATGCGAAGAATGGAGTGTAGAAGGGGAAAAAAAAATATAAAAGGCCAAAATCCCACTCAAAACCATGCAAGAGTCCAAGTAGATAGGATTCGTGGAATTTTTTGAAACGAAGAAAAAAAAAAGGGTTCAGCTAAGAGACTGGGCAGGGACAATATACACAACAAGACAGCCGAGTCAAAAAGCAAAAAAAAAAAAAAAAACCCAGAAATTGAAAAAAAAATCAAAATTAAAAACAAAAGCTTCTGTTTGATTTGGGTTTCCCTCCTTTTGGTCGAGCCAATTTTACATAAGTTGATCCGATTTTAAGACACTTTAATCATAATTAATTAATAGCGTTAATGATACCATCATTATAATTTTCACTGTGGGTTGATTTTCTTTTCTCTCATTCGAGAGAGAATATTGGAATCTGGGGTTTTGGATTTGCTTTTTGCGATAACCAAAGCTAGCTGGTACTGTTTCTAACAACGAATAAAGCTACCAATTAATAATTACCGTCAAAAGAGCTAGTACTACTCTCTCTCTCTCTCTCTCTCTCTCTCTCTCTCTCTCAACATTGAGGAAGATTTTTCTCTTTTTTTTTTTTTTTTTTGCTTGTTTGGTTTTTTCTCGGTCCTAGAGTAGTACGATGCGATAGTGATCCCAAAAATGTCTGCTGGGAGGGGGTATCTGATTTGGAAAAAGAAAACAAAGGAGAGAAAAAAATTGAGTATATAAATATATATATACACATACATTGATACATAATTAACGGAAGAATTAGTGGAAAAAGGAAGAAGAGGGAGAGGAATCAGCTGAAAAGAGAGCAAAGCTCGGTATTCAAGTTATAGCTGTTTTTGGTGTTGTTGTTGCTGTTGATGCCCACATGTATAGGCGTGAAGATGTTCTCTCTGTTTCCATGGCAGCTTTCCCTTTTTTGTGATGTCCTTGTTAACCACAGTCTCTCTCTCTCTCTCTCTCTCTCTCTCTCTCTCTCTCTCTCTCTCTCTCCCTCTCCATATATGAGATTCCAAAATCTATGTTTCTTCTTGGTTTTCAGGCCTCGTGTTCCTTCCACATGTGCTCAATCATATGTGGGTTAGATTCTCTTGCTCTTTTCTAGAATCCTAAACAAGAGAAAAAGAGTAACCAATCGATTTTCTTACATTTTATCTGGCAGTTAATTATGGTATTAAATTGATTCATTAAAATTTTATTCTCTCTCTTGGAGGAATCATTTTGCGTTGAAAATATACCGATTTAGTGGAAATCAACTCATTTTTTTTTTTTATGGAAACATTAGCTTTACAGATTTTTTTTAATCCCTCAGTATAAAATTTTTATGCTTTATACCATATATAGACCATTGCAAACTGATAATTCCGATTGTCAATTTTAGCTAGTAGTCAACGGTCTACTTTGACGGTGAAATTTACTTTTAAATTTTAATTCTCATACTACCCTCACAAACTTACCAATTTATAATTTTTTTCTCGTTTTTTGAAATGGAAAATATATTCTAAAGCATTAAACATCAATCTATACCTATAATGCCTACTAGAGAAAACACTATTCGGATTGACAATCGGTTTCATAAAAAAACTCAAGGGAAGTTAAAGGAAATTTAATATTGTACCGGACTCTAAAAATAAAAAAACACCTAAATTGTGTATTAAAGATAGAGCACATCCACGGCTCTTTTAGGGTTCGTTTGGTACGAGAATTCAAATCAATGTGATTCTAATCATGATTGTAGAACAAGAATTCAGAATTACTGTAAACAAACACTGATTTTGAACGATCATAATTCTGGATCTATCTACCAAACCCATCCTTTATAATAACAACAAAAAATGTAATCAACCTATAGAAATAAATCTAATGGATAGCCTAGAAATAGATACAAGTCATCGTAAAAGTCACTGCTGTTACAAACCCAAAACAAACAAAATGGTAAAAGGAAAAAACAACCACAAGAAGAAAAATGATAAAGCTTCTTGTAGAGACATGACCATCCATGTTTGAAACATCAAGGAAAGATGAGGCCCGAACGAGTTAAGAACTGTTGTTAGCACTATGCCAAACCGGCCAATGCACGTGGTGCACGTGCAACTCAATATAACCACTCAACGCAACACTTCCAACACTATCAGATGCGCTATACAAGCGAGAATGAGACCTTAAAAGAGCAGGGATCTCAGAGAAAAGACATGTTTAGAACGGCGTATAAGCCAACACGCCTAAATCCCATTATATCTAAGATACAATAAATGTGTCTCGAAGCAACCAAAACAGCCACTAACACCATATCGACCAGCTCATTGTTGCAAGCTCGTGGATGAAACACGAGAATAGTGGAAGCCCAACGACGTTCCTAAAGACAATGTCATGACTCCAGCCAAAACACTCCTTTCTTTTTTGCCTCTCTCTCTCTCTCTCTCTCTCTTCAAAGCAAGCTCTTTTAAGAGAAGTCGCGTATGGGTTAGACTTTTTGCCCCTCGAAGAGCTTCTAACAGCACAAAGTGTTCAGTTAAGATTTAAATCAGTAGTTCCAAAAACTTAATTTGGTTTCAGAAAGTAAAAGTAGCACGTAAAAATTATACTAAATGTGCCTTAATATGAGTATCATAATTCTAATTGAGAATACAAGGGGCTATCGCTTAAAGAAATGTATATATATCGTGCTCGAAATTGATAACAAAAAAAATTAGTAGGGCTACAAAAGTACTATAAATGCTCATTATCTTCCCATAGCACAAAATTATGGGTGTATTTAGAACCCGTTCTAAACTGATTTTGTTTTTTGTATGTAAATGGAAATGAAAACGTTTTCATTCGCAGACAAGAATCATTTCTAAAAATGCGTTTGTCAATTTTATTTAGAGATTGTTTTCAGTATATATAAAAAAAACTGAAATTGTGTTTGGTTTTACATTTTTGAAAACTGTTTTTATTTTCGTGTCTTAACATGGAGAAATATTTTTAGAAATAATTTAAAATTAATTCCAAATGCACGATAAGTTTTTTTTTTTTTTTTTTTTTTTTTTTTTTTTTTTTTTTTTTTTTTTTTTTTAGAGAGAGATATAGGAGGCTAGTCAGAGAAAGAAGAGAGTGAGAGAATTGAGAGAGCAAAAGGGTCTGTGAGAGAATTCATGAATATCTGGGTTTTGCTTTCGTTCTTGGCTCTTGTATTGCTGTGAATCTGGTAATAAAAGTTTTGTCTTTCTTGGTTTTTCTCAGTTGAAGGGACAACCTCAATTTCTCTGGTGTTCTTGTTCGCTCGATTAGAGAGTTGGTTTTCTTGATCGTTCTGGAATTGCAAAGTGAGGAATTGCTCTGATTTCTTCACATATTGCAATATTTTTCTTTGTTGTTTCCAAGTGGTACAATTTCAAATTCAAATTCCCTTTAATTCCATCAATATTTCTCTACCGATCAGTCTCTTTTTTGGCAACATCTTCTCTGCGATCTTCACATTCTTCTTTGCTTTAGGTATGTATTTTTCTCATTTCAGGGTTTTATTTTGTTTATGTCATTGTTCATCAATTATTAAATGATTTTTCAAAGAGAAGAGAACGGAGAAGAGGTGAACTGGTGAAGGAAACAAAATAGCCTAGGAGAAAATGAAAACAAAAAAAAAGGAAAACGTTTTCATATTATTTTCAGAAATGTCCCACTTTTTGGGATAAAGACAAAAACGTTTTTATTTTGTGTTTTTATACGGTGCTCTCCCAAACACAATTTTTACACAATTTTTATTTTTTTCTCCTCAAAAAACGTGAAAAACGTTTTTAAGATCAGTTTTAAACGTGCTCTATATATCCTCT